ATGTTCCCTGGGCCCCCTTCAGGGACCCTGCAGCATACCCGAAATACCAGGCTACGGTGGCTACACTACTGCCCACCTCCGAGCCTGACAGCCTCAAGCCACATGAGCTGCACACGTGTCTCTGGCTCTGTAGCACCGGCGCGTTCACTGCGCTGCCCCAGAAATGAAGCCCAACACCGTACACAGGGCAAAGATACCATGAGATGTACAAAAAAGAGCTTCATTTCTAAATCAATAGCTAGGCAGCCTACCCGATTCCGGAGTCTCAATCTTTTAGGAGATGAAAGCAGCGTAAAAACATATTCTATTTCTTTCTTTTCTTTCTCTACAAAGCCAAGGTTCGGCAAACATTGTGGCTGAGCCATGTTTCAAACTCCCCGGTGATTTTTGACTTGCGGCGGGGCCAGCTCCTCGTTCTGACCCCGGCGCAGCTGTCCCGCAGGAGCAGGCGGCGCGCCAGCTCCTCTCCATCTTCCCCTCATTTTTAAACCACCTGCAGCTGGAGTAAACTGCAAGTAGATAAAAACAAGCCACTTTTCTCACAATTACAAACAGGAAGATGGGGTTTGATGTGGAAAAGGAATTCAGCCGGGAATGAAAATGGGAACATCTTCCAGCTGAAGGCAAACAAGCTGAGTTGCAAAACACGGTTTTGCATCAGAACGTGGACCAACAGCCAGTGCCAAACATCCCATTCCTGTGGAGGGGCCAGGTTATTTTAGCACTTGGAGGCATGACTTTGCACTGCAGAATGGGATGAATTCTGTTTAGCAGCGTCATTGCTACACAGCCCAAAACTTTTTTTGCTTTTTCAAATTCTTAAAAGAATCAAATAATTTGCTTATTATTAAAATTGAGACATCAACAGGGATGTTGCAAGGCACACATCGGACCCACTGAATGGCCCGTGCACCATTCAGATCCCACTTTGAAGGATTAATAAGCCAAAAGGGGAGGGGGGGGATTCGTGGCATCTACAGAGAGTGGGAGATACTTATGCTTGGGCGAAGTACAAGCAGGATTTCAAGGAACAGGCCCCTGGGTTGCAGCATGCCGTGGTGGGAAAGGGAAGGTTTAAGTAAAAAATAAAAGGGGGCAGGTGGGAGAGGGAATGCTATTTTAATTACAAATACTCACTAGTTAAAAACAGTGGATGCAAAGAGCAGCAATAAGGAGTTAAACAAAAGAAGTAAAGATGAAATGCTGGGAAATACTAACCAAGTGAGAAAATAAATGATATAGGAATTAACGCATGAAATAAAATAATAAAGTGGCAATGTTAGAGCAACAGGAGAAGGTACGTTCTCCCTCTCTCTGCGATTTTTTTTCCTCAAGACCCAGTTTTGCACTAGATGCACTGGAAGAGGCAAGCCCTGGGTCCCAGCCTCGGTGACGATTTTCATGCTGTGCCAAATAAGCCTTTCTTGTAAACACACAAACAGTCCTTGGCACAGAGACCCATCTTGAGATCTCAGCAAATCTTGCCAGTGACTAACCTCGTCCCCTGCCCTGGAGAGTCAGGCTCCTTGCTGCCTCCCTCTGGGCTAAGGGATCTTGCGTTGGGTTTGGGTGTGCTATTTCTAATAACAAAATGGCAGCGCTTCAGGGAGTGCGGAGGGGCTTGTCCCCAGGCAGAGAAGGGCTAGGACATGCTAGGAAACTCGAGATAGGAGGAGAATATATAATCCAGGTCCTTGGCAAGGACTCAGACCAGTGACTCCTCAAGAGTGACTCTGCTCTCCCTTTGAGAAGGATGGACCAGGGGCCTGTGTGTAGGTGACGGTTTCAGGCTGTGAATTATGATCTGGCACAGGCATGCTCTGAGGCCCTGATGTAGGGGTGACAGTCCCCAAACCAGATGGGGTTTAAGACATGCCCTTGTCATATAAGCATAACCGGTTCCCTGCCCAGAGTGCTGGGTTTGGTGCCTCCTGCACTGCAGGAGGAGAGTCCCAGCTCAGGGGCTGCAACGCTGATCCCCCTAGAAGCAAGACACGGCAATGCACAGCCTTGCAAAACTTAACACATTTGCAAGATCTGGGCTTCATATTTAACAGTCACAATAGTAAAAAAAAAATTGCTTTTCTCATCTTCCTGCAAAAGCACTTTCTATGCCTCGTTCTTAGTGGGGTTTTTTAATGTCAAATTGTTTGCCATTAATGAATTAACTGGCAGAGATCTCTCTCTTCTTCAGTTGCTCTCTGAAAAGATGGAATTTGGAGAAACGGTCTGCAACACCTTGCAATTCAACTTGGCATTGTAATATCAGAGAAAACAAATCATTTAAGAGAAAAAGAGTTACATGAATTTCTGAAGCCAGTAAAACTATTTCCTGCTGTGCTATCTAAGGCTCGGAACTACTTAACGGCATTCACAGCAGATGCAAATGTTAAAAATTAAAGACACCTCACTTCGAAAGACTTACAACAATCAGACTTAATTCCTTAACAACCAGAATCCTCCTTTTTTCCTTTTGAAACTCCATCCTATTTGACAAGTTGCATATGGTTTTAAGTGACCCAAGGTAGCTTACCTTGCCTGTTTTAGCAGCAATCATACTGTTCTGCATTTTCATTGCTTCAATTACACAAATCTCTTGACCTTCTGAAACCTGGTAAAATTAAAGCAGTACAAAATGAGGATAGAGGATTTGAAATGCTCTAAGTGTGTACGATTCTTCTGGAAAATAAAGGGATTATTTCATTAAATGCTAAAAGGACTTTCGTGGCACAAGTCAGCCAGCTACACAGTCACGACACAAATGGCAGCTGCCTTTGACAGACTAGCAGCAACACAGGGAAAAAGGAATCATCTGCTTAAAACTATCACCCCAGACAAACCTGAAAGGCTCCTCTCCCATCCCATCCATTCAGCTCCAGCTTCTACGTTTCACATTTCACATCCATCGCAGTTTGGCGTTAGGGCAAAACTTTATCTGCGCAGTTTGAGCCAGGGAGCCTTTGCTTTGCTTCCCTGGCACAGATCCTGAAAATAATAATCCTGATGTGGAAGCCACAAGTTTCTTGGCATGCATCTGGGGGAGCACGGGCTGGAAGCTCCAGTAATTCCCAACGGGCTAATGCTGAGCAGAAAGTCACACCCCTGCACGTGGCAGCATCCGCGTGGCGGCTCGTGACTTCAGACTGACAGAAGGGAGCACGCCTGCAAAGAACCACCAGCTCTCACCCACAAGGGAGGCATCACGGAGGCAAACCCATCATTTTCACCACAGCTGATAGCTCTTAAAGGGAAACATCCAGGTTTCCTCTTCCTGCTTGCTTGCTTGCACTCTGCTAACAGGCATGGGCAAGCTCAAGGTCACCAGTAACCCACTGGGCTGCTCTGCTGGGCTCCCCGTGCCTCCCAGTCAGGTCCTCCCTCCAACGCCTTGGACCACACTGCACAGAGGAAACTCTGCTTAAGGCTTTACAGTGGTGGAGGGGCACAGCCTATACGCGAGGGGAAAACCATGAATTCATCCCTTGTGTAACCCAGCGATCAGCCAGTCATTCCAGGAAGATGATGTATGCCAGAGAGGGAAGGGTGCCAGGCCCTACGTGCCGGAATTTAGGGTTTGTGCAGGTACACCCCTCCGGGATGCCTGGCTCTGAGTGACCGCTGCAAGTCTTTTCATTGAGCTCTTTTGCAGATGTGGTCTGCCATTCACTCATTATCCCAGCAAATTTGGGATGCTTTCACTCCGACGTCAAAGTTTCATTAAAGAGGGTAATTTGAGACCTGCAGAGATCTGGTTTATACATCGTTACACGTGCCAGTGCCCTCAAAATGTGTTTGCTTATATATGTACACAGATACACATAGATATATTTTTCTAAATATATGTGAAATGAGTAATACATATTTAAGGACAAGCGTGTACCGCTTTGGAGGAATATACTGTCTAACAGGCAGGTGTGAAGTCAGAGATCAAACGCACATTGCATGAAGCGCATTCCGAGAATTTAAATAAAGCTTTTTTTCTAACACGTGCACTAGCAATGACTGAAAGCATCGGTGTCTGCCCATGGATTCTGAGCAAGGCAGAAGAAAAGACATTACGTTAAAAGGGGCGTACACACCCTTTCTCCAACAGACTGCCAACAGCAGTACGAGGGGCTTTTTGGGGTAGGGTCAATAAGGAATGCGCTTGCTATGGGAACACAGTGTACTAACCGGATACGGAGAATAACCAACACCCCACACTTCACCTGCAGAAATTCCATCCTGAGCTTCAGGCGGGCATTTAAGTCATTAGCAGTGTCAGATTTGGTGAATAGTATCAAAGGCTTGTTCTTTGTTCCCAGTTATTTCCCCTCTATTCCCTTTCCCCGTCTTTTGTCTCCTTCCTTCCACACCTGCCGCTCTGCCCATAGCCTTGTCCCAGCACCTCACTCGTTCCTTTCTTGCTTCTTCTCCTCTTCTTCTCCCTATCTCACTGCTCAGCTTTTCTCCCATCTGCTCTGAACTTGCCAGACATCTCTGAGGTTAAGAGGAAGCTATGAATATCTACTTCTGTTTAAAGAGAAAAAAAAAAAAAAAAAAAAAAAAGGCAAGAATGTTTGTTGGAGGGTTTTTTTTTTTTTATAGCACATTTCAGAAACAAATTTGCCACCCTCTGGTTAAACTCCGCTATCGGAGTGCCAAGAACGTGGACCTCTAAAGGTTGCTGAAGATTGAGACGATAAGGAGTGCAGATCTGAACTGAGTGGCCTAATTTCAAGGGCACAAGAAACTCCTCTCTCGAGCCCCAGTGCGATTCAGCTGTAACGTGGCTTCATCAGGTGGATGGCGTGCAAATGAACCACTTGTTAGCAGTTACCTAAACGGAGTTCTGGAAATACATCCACTGGAAAAGTACAGAATTGTCTCTGTCGATCTTAAGTAGAGCGCTAAAATGCCAGCAAGCATTAAGACTCGTCATGGGATGGAAACAGCCATGAATCTGAATTTCTCCTCAGTTTCCCCCCTTTCTCAAAAATAAAGTTTTTGTGTTTTGTGTAATACCTGCCGGGTTGATGACAAAGGAAGCGGTGTCTGGGAAGGAAATGACCCACCAAATATATAGACCAAGTATCCAGTTAACATCCAGGCTTACTAATTTGGAAGGAAGGAGGCACTTTGAGCAGGCACCACGTGTGAAAATGCTGTGTCAGTACTTCGGCCCATGTGCAATTTGTTGAAAATTACCTTGGTGAAAGTGTCACTTAAGCACAGAAGTTTAATTACTGTTCTTATGTTAAACCTTTACAGCTCCACTCATTGTGTTGCAAAGCGACAAATCCTAAAATGAGGCACTTGTACCTCCCTTTTCTCTTTTTCAGTCCTTTGGGCATTGTCCAATGTCTTTCATTCCGTAATTGCACATATCCCTTTGCCTGTTATTTAGCCTGCAAATGAAAACCGCAGCGATGTGTACAAGTTCTTGCTTTCTAACTTATTTAAGGATTTATCTGGACCACTTTTAATGTTGCCTTTTCATCTTATAATTTCTTTCTTCCAGTGGATAGCAAACCAATGTCAACCACCATCTTTACATTTCAATTTCGAGAGGTCTCTGTGATGACCCAAATCTGTCAAAACAGGCAAATAAAATCAAACAAAATAATCGGATTGATTGGAACAAAGTAAAATAAAAGGGCTCCTTTTCTTAAAAGAAATTAAACTTAGGTATCTTTCTGGCAGAGTTAACTCTACAGACAGATCTACCTTTACATTGCTTGGAATATGAAAATAAATGAGTGATTAACTGTCAGACCCGCAGTCTGTATTTTCGTAGTTTGTTTCTGCATGGCGCAGTTCAAAGCAGCTGTTCAGTTTTGTTCTCCACAGAGCGAAAAGGGGGGAAAAAAAGTGG